GGATGTCAAAGGGATCTGATGTTGAGCCATTAAAAACTACAGTGCCTTTCATTCCATCATGGAAGGACCTGATGATGTTAAGGAGTTGAGGTGGACATCCAGTCTTGGGAAGTATTTTAAAAAGGCCATCCCTGCTAACCAAATCAAAGGCCTTTGTGAGATCTATGAAGGCCACAAAGAGTGGTTATTTTGTTCCCTACATTTCTCCTGCATTTGTCTGAGGGAAAATACCATGTTGGTGGTGGATCTATTTGCTCGAAATCCACACTGTGATTCTGGATAGACTCTGTCTGCAATCACCTGGAGTCTCTTCAGCACAACACGGGCCAGCAGCTTCCCTACAACGCTGAGAAGAGAGATTCCACGATAGTTATTGGAGTCTCCCCTTTCTCCCTTTTTCTTGTACAATTTGACGATGTTTGCATCCTTCATGTCCTGTGGTACTCCACCTTCCCTCCAGCAAAGACAAAAGACTTCATACAGCTTGGTGGTGGTGATCTCTTTACAGCGCTTCAGCACTTCAACGGGGATGTTATCCTTCCCAGGTGCCTTGCCAGAGGCGAGGGAATCCAGGGCCGCTTTTATTTCCAAGACAGGCAGGCACTTGATGTTATTTAATATCTCTTCTGTTACTATATTCTCTCTGGAATATAGCTCAGAGTAGTGCTGCACCCAGCGGTCCATCTGCTGTGCTCAGTCCTCCATGATCATGCCTTTTCCCCCAAGGGCAGAATTAACAACAGAAAGGGTGGAGGATAATTCAGTGCTATGTGTCCTCAGTTCTATTGTATGGTATTAAATTGTGCACTTCACTGCAGGCTAATAAAACAGAAGCATTTGAAAGGGGTTCAATGCAGAATGGTAAGAATTTTGTGAATCGTGAGGATGACCAACAGCGAGTACAAGGAGGTAAGGTCAGTTTGGCTGTCAGATAAAATCTTTGTTCGCAGATGGTGTTCACAAGTGACACAGAGTACCGTATTCAATTCTGCATGATGTTTGTGTTATCAAGAACTTTGCTCTAGAACTCAATGGGTCAACATGGTGGATAGATCATATGTTCAGAGGAATTGTGCCTTTGTCTCAGTGGGTGCTATATTGCTTTTTTTTCTTGGTTAGCTTTAAAAATGTCGTGGACACATTGTCTGCACAAATACATGCATGTTATCTTAAAAGGTTTTAAAAAGCTTCACAATCACATTTAAATGCACCTTCTTCATTTCAGAACTGAATATGCTAGAGACTTGCAGCTATGCTAAGCAATCTAAATAGGAAGTAGTCTCATTTGATTTCAGTGGTGCGTTATTTTGCATTAACTTGAGACCAGAAGCAAAGCCTTCTGAGCTTTAAGCCATCAGCCTATAGAACTCTGGGTGTGTTCTGAAAATAGATGTCCCAATGTACAACATCAACTTCCCATTCCCATTTTACTTCTTCTGAAATCAGGTTAAAAGTTTATGACAGACATTTTCATTTTAGGCTGAGGAGGAAATGTCTGATATATGCCAACATCTCTGCAATTGCATTAGGTTCACTGCACTCATGAACATATTACAGTATATTATCTCTCTGTGTGCAAACAGTTGGAAGTTACAGAGCTGTTCAAATCTTCCTTGCTGGATGGTTTGGCCAATGTTTAGAAACTGTTTGCTGCATTGCAATAAAATGGAAGCCTAAGGAAAATTTGTGACCATGTCCTCGTTATTCTTCAGTATTATCATTCTGTGAATTCCGAGTGCTTCCAGAGAGAAAGAATAGTCATACCCTTTCGTATTTGCTTGTTAATGGATGTCATGAAGTAAAAGCAGTAAGTCTCACATCATAAAGTATGCACCTGCTTTTTATTACTGCATCTGATTCACTTTCCCCATCTATTCAGAAGTAAGCATGTTCAAGTTTATCCTTTAAGTGTCTCTTAGGCAAATTTGCATTATTATTCATAGGTTTGTCCTTCCTTCCCCCCCCAGTTCAGAAATGTGAGCTAGAATTTTTTTAAAAAACGTAAACTAATACAATAAATGGACTGCGTTCAGTGGAAGATCAGATGAAAATTCAAACAACAATCTTGGTGTTAGACTTGCTTGTATTTCTTAGACCAGGAGTTCTGCCACATAACTGGAATCAATGTTCTCCTAACTTAGATGTAATAACTGTAGGAAAAGCTCTCTTGGTGTGTTAACTGACTTATAAAAAATGTTATCTCATTTAATTGATACACATTACCATTTGAGTAGCCAAGGAGGGGGTGTATAACTAGCAAATCCTGAGTCTAAAACCTCCAGACAGTACCATTGCTCTCTTCCTTCAAGGAGTGGGCTAGCCCAACTATAAAAGAAAATGAAAGCCGTGGGATAAAATCTAAAATTCCTCAACAGTCCTGACAATCATCTGTGGTATTACCACAGACACCTCAGAGAATGTCTCTCTTTATTACAATAATCTCCCTTGACAGCTGCACTCCTTGCAATCTGTGAAACTGTCAGACTGAGAGGAAAGGCTTGTTAAAAGCAGAGAGGAGCCTTTCTCAGCTACAAGACAATAAGTGCAGAGAACTGAATCTCTGAGCAGGGCATAATGACTTGGAAACATCATTGTTTTTTGGAAATAAACAGATAACTCAGTTTGATGGAGCTTGCAAGTTTCTGCATAACTGTATCCTAACTATTTTATTTTAACAGTTCAGCATCTGAATAGAATCAATTTGCTTTTCGAAAACGTCAGCTCCCATTGCATTCTTTAAACTTCTTTGTTGTGGTGAGATAGGATCTTTGATATATCCCAACAGCAAATGAGTAGAACTCAGAACTTTTGCAGGCTTCTCAAAAATAAGCAATGTTTTCTCTTGCATCCAAATACACTTCTATTATCAGAATTTATTAGAATTGTGGTGCAATACTATTGATTAATCCACTAATTCATTACAATTCACTCTTTGAGAGATGAAATGCTGCAGAATTTTTAGCTTGCACCCAAATACACTTCTGTTATCAGAATTTATTAGAATTGTGGTGTAATTCTATTGATTAATCCACTAATCCACTAGCCGCTCAGAGTGGTATAGATTTACCAGATGAGCGGGATACAAATCAAATAATCTGTATTGAATGGTTTATAGTTTCTAGAGGGTTTTCTTGCAAAATATTGCTCTGATCTTAGAAGTAAATAACTACAAGTAATGTGGCTACCTTTAACTACTGTTTCATGCAACA